GGATCTGGAAGTGTTGAACCGACCACAGCTGCTCTGTATCAAAGTGATAACGTTTGACCCTCAAACTGAGCCTCAGTCACGGCTTTGTCTCTCTCTCCCTCTCTCTCTCTCTGAGCGCCGTGGGTCTGTATCTCTGTGGTCAAGTGTCTCGGTCCTCGTACACAAAACAGTCTCACGCGTGCAGGTTAAGTGAGTTCATGGAGAGTGCTGACTGTGGAGAGAAACAGTCCCTGCCTTCGTTCTTCTGCCTGGAGTTTCTCATAAAAAAAAAAGTTCTTTTAGACTCGCACCAAAATAGGTCAGGGCTGCAAGGAGGTACAGGACTTAAAAAAGGAGGGAAATATCACTGATGTTTGGAACAACAACAATAAGGAATTACATTTAAAACTGAAGGATTGCACAATTTACCATCCAATGAATATTTTAATATTTTACTGTAAATTGTCTTTTAGTATAATATTGATAAATATTTAACATATTTATTTGTAACATTTTTTTATGTTTCAGTCACTTCCTGTTGAGGTAAAACCTTCAGTCTGTTTAATGTCTGGTAAATACAGTAGAGTATAAGCAGCAGATGCACCCTGAATCCGGCAGGACGGCTTGTTTGTGTGTTGTTTTTACCATATATGGTGTTGTGTTGGGTTGTTGTCATCCAGTTATGCACTGAACTTTTACATTCAGACGAATCTGTCTCTGTGATGTGTGGCACGGGTCGCCTTCAGACCAGAACCCTTTCGTTTTTCCATGACTTTATATGGTGGAATCATCACAACATGAGGGAGAGAGTATGGAGGAGGTGGAAGAGGGGAGGAGAGAGAGGCTAGGAGAAAGAAGACGGATTATTCAAAGTGACCTGAAGCAGAGGACAGACACAATTGGTTGTTAGGAACTGAACTTTGGGGCGGCAGATATAAATCAACAACAATTTTTGTTTGGTTGTAAACATTGGATTTTGTTGGGGAGAAAAAACTTAATGGGTTTTTTATATATAATTTAAAGCTATCATTTAGGAAGCATCAAGCATTTTTCCTTTATTTTCTTTTTGGACTCAGTACTGCACTGCCATCCATTGGCCAATTATGTTTGTTTTTTTTAACATTAAAAGCTAATGCTAATGCTAATTTAGGTTAGACACCAGCATCGCTGCTCAATTAAGGCCTGAACAATACTTTAAACTAGTTGTGGTTTGACGTGTTTTAAACAATTTATGGCTAATATTTAACTTTTTTTTTGGTCATTTGTATCGAGACAGTAACTTTTATAGATGTATTTTAGAGAACCTTTTAGAACTCTTAGAGAAGTCTTGCAGCTATTTATAATTCTGAATCGATATTTTCAATTAGGTATTCATGCATTCTAGTATTCTACCCCATTTCACGTTACAACAGACACACAAACAGTTCTTTATTTATTAGAACTAACCTTTTAGTGCAAACTAAAGCCCAATATTTGGAATCATCACATTTTTACCCAGGAAGTGATGATTATTCCACTGGAGTAATATTTGATTCACTACGTTCACACATTTTTTTTATACGCTCGACTGAAAACACCACGTCATTGTGCAGAGAAAAGACAAACTCTTTAATGAGTGTCCACGTCCAAGTTAGTCCTGTAGCAAGTTTAGGACATCCAAACAAACCCTCTAGAGGACTAGGATTAAGATGATGGATGGAACTGTCCCTGTGTGTGTCTGTGTATGTGTATGTGTGTGTGTACATATGACACTTCTGTAAGATGAAGACGAGGAGCCGCAGCTGTGTTTTCTGTGCCTGTTTCGGCTGAGAGGATGGACGAGGCAGCGGCTGACAGATTATAAACAGAAGAACTGCAGAGTCACTGGGACGGCGAAGAAATAACTATGACAGAGTGAGTCGTCTGGAGCTCTGCTGAGCTCAAGTACCTGAACTTCCAATGAACACTGCAGTCGCTGCGTATTTTCCACGCACGTGTCCAAATTACACGACCATATTGGCATAACGCATTTAAAGCTTTGCTGTTCCTCAGGGGTCAGAGGTCGTAAGCTAAACTGAGCCAAGGGCCACTGCTGCCACCAGTATTTCATTAGAGGGCCGCATCAGTGTTCGACCCTAATACGCAAAACCCACATATTGTAGTACTGTATAAT